GGGTTTTGGGGGGGGGGGGGGGGTGCGTGACAACCCCCTTCGCATCTCGTATCGCTTGTTAGCCAATCCGTCGGTCTACCTAGCAACTGTCTATCCGTCTGTTGGATCCTGCGGCTGGTCGGGTGTCACGAGAGAAAAACAGAACCTATTAAAGTACAATCAGCGCTAATTGCACGATTAATATTTCATCCGTGCGTCCGGACCAGTCAGCAGACTCGACCTGCCCGTGCACCGTGCCACCAGGGGCAACATGCACTTCTCGTCCAGGAGAGAGCTAGCCGATGGTCCATTGGAAGAGCCTGCACTGATTTCCTTTTAATTAGTTTGGTTTTCTAGCTGTGCCATCGTCACCCTCTGTCCACGGGTCGGCTATTGTTTTTTTTTCTTTTCTTTTCGACTATTGGAAATGTCAGGAAGTTTGAACTTATGGAAATTTGCCAAGGTAGATGTTGCTACGAGCTATATCCTTCTATCCGCTACCATAGAGATCATGTTGCCGGGATTTATTTTCTCAATTCAATGCTTCGTGGATCAGCTGGATTTAGGGTATTATTCATCTGTCGTAGATTATCCCCAGATAGACTCCAATAACAATTCGGTACATTGCGCTCGATGTAATCTCTCCCTCTCTCCCTTTCTCTCCGTCTCTCTCTCTCTCTCTCTATGCTATCCCACCCTTTTATCTTGCTCGCGGATTCTCCTCGTATTACAAACGCAATTCCGCCAATTGTTCAATCGTAGGAAATTCTTGCTGAATATGTATACTCGGTGCTCGAAACTATAAATTCGCGAAACTCGTTTGGATCTAACGAAGCCACGTGGATTAGCCATCGAGTGCCTGTCCGTCGTCTTTCTCGCGTAAACAGTCCCAGGCCCGATCCGCCGGCAGTGGACACGTTTAAATTCAATTGAAAATCTGACACGCGCGATGGAATGCAATATTATAAAAATTGCAGAAACACTGTAAATTTGGCAATATCGATTTCTTCATGCTTCCTCGATACGCTTACCTTTTATGTCAAGGATCCACTCAATCCATTCGGTCTCTGTTACTCGTTCACTTCACTGAGCACTTTAAGACGCACTCCCTATATTTACTCTCGTCCCTCGCGGCAATCACAGGTACTTTACTCGGTACGAAATTTATGACGAAAACTGGTAAATATGAGGAAGAATTAATTTTCACGAATAAGTCACATCGGAGCGTTTAAGTTTCAGCCGTGCTGTCCCAGGCAGACCAGGCAGACCAGGCAGACCAGGTAGACCAGGTAGACGGTCCTCTCCTCTCTCAGGTGTTTGGACTGCTTCCTTCTGGCCAGTGCTCCCACAAGATCGCCTCTCCTCCGCCATTGTTGCCACATCCTCCCTGGAGCACAGTTCACACGATGAAAAAGGATCTACTCGTGCCACCTCGTTCATCCACTCCACAAAGTCCGGACGCGTCCTTGCCATTTTGATTCCCTTTAGATTCCTTTTGTTTTTCTCCGTACTCCTTCACTGGACTCGCTAGACGATCCTGGAGTATCTCAACTCTCCCGAATGGATCCCAGCATCGATCCCGTCTATGGAGCAAATGGCTGCAACGTGACTAGAAATAATATCGGCTAAGACGTATCGTGTGATTTCGAGTACAAATGACTGCGGGAATTTGAGCAACGTGAAAGATCGAAAAAATTATTATGAGATCAGTGTCCCGGGATTGTTAAGAATAATTGTAAAAAACAAAAATAACGTCACTAGTCGATGTCAATACCGATGACCATTTTTCTGTTTAGATCGTGATTTCGTCTGACCGGAACATGATTAACGTGGAATCTGGTTTGACCCTGCATGGAATTCGTGATGGTGCCCATGGCGTCTTTCGTGAGCCACACTCTTGTCTTCCACCTTATTCCCCATAAGTACAGTCCTTCGCGGTCGGTACCTGCGGAGTGTAGAAACCTGCCAGAGCCTTAACCGACCGATACGATACCAACCGGATCGGTAACCGGTTGTATCGTTGGCCGCAGTGGCAAATAGACTGGACGTCTCGGATAGTCTGGCTGTCTTGGATACTTACGGATGGACTTTATCCATTCGAATGGTATATATGAATATATATTCTACACGGCAGATTCGCGGGAGACGGAATACACGGGCATGTCTAGTCTATTTACATTCAGTCAAAGGTTTTATATCCCCTGTCGAGTATAACCGATGGACGGTAATGCAGCAGCAGATCTTGATCGTTGACAATTCAATCTTGAGACTCGAATTTATGCGCACCGATCGTTGGCGACACTGCCAAGGATCTATAGATCTCTGACTTACCCGTCAAAGCCGGAAGATCGATGACGTAGAAGCTCTTAAGCTCGCCGTGAGACACTCTTGGCGCAAAACGTCTCCCGACAGACGCCGAAATCTCGACGGACGTTTTCGTACCGCAGGAAACCGTCTCTGGGAGTCAATAGGAATTCCCCAGCTGATCCCATTAAACGAATGTTGGATCGCGAGGACGGGGGATAATGACGAGAAATGCCAAGAGACATTTTATCCAGTGACGTAAACAGTAGCTATAGCAACTGGGAAATCGGGGGTGGCTCGATCGGAAACGACTGTGATTTGAGTGACGGCAATTCGATAAGGCGATACCTACTGCTCCTCTTTACCCGATTTACCAACAGTGGCTCTCAACCTAGCTTCGCTTTAGATTTCATTATTTCATACGTACCGGTTGATAGAATACAATTCCTGTACAGACAAAAAAAAATCATTCAATAATGATTTTGACAATTGACGATTTTCTTCCGGCGGGACAAAAAAAGACATGAATATTGTCATACAAGATTGTATACAGGGTGTCCCAAGATTACTACATCCGATACGAAAAAGTTTTCAAGCGCCACTCTTACCACCCGTGAAGACCAAGTCTCGAACATAACTATATATTTTTGCGCTCATTGCGCATTGGATTCGGCAGTTCCTGTTTAGTTCTGAATCAGCCGAGAGAAACAATCTGCTCTTTCCTGTATAGTATCTGCGGCTAGTTTCAGTCTCCTCGCTGCAGACGTGATACAATAGCGGGATCAAGAGGAAAGAAATGTCAGAGTCGAAAGGTCATTAATAATCCCGTCGTAGCTTTACTCCGATACATACATGAACTTTGACCAGCTCTCATTAATGAAACACAGTATTTTTCAATAAAACAAAGGTCCGTTATTCGGTAATATTTTTTTTTAGGAACAGACCTGCAGACTAGGACCACTTATTTTGAGACACCCTGTACGTAGAACGGGAGCCTGTAAAGACGAGAGAGCCTCTCTCACGGTGATTTCCCATAGCTTTTAATCCGTCGAGATTAGAGAATGCGCGTACGCGCTCATCGGCCGAGGGCAGCTGTGTATTTGCGTTAGATTAGCCCAATGCATGTGTAAGACACGTCCTATCTCTCCGAGTACAAATATGTCAACCCTAGTTGACACCTTGTCAAACTGATAGCCGAGGCCTGATTTTGTTCAATTAATTGAACCCGCCGCGACGAAGGGAAAGATCGGCCACGAGGCGCACCGTCCTCCCCTCCCCTCCCCACCCCCTCGGCCAAGTCGTCCCGACGCCACCAAGATATCTCACTCGGCGTCCATTTCTGCCTCGGGTCTCATTCTTGACTCGGGATGCTCAGCGTGAGGAAACGAGAGAGCCACGTGCGAAACTGACAGCGGAGGACGCGTCGCGACGCCGCGCGTCGGAGGACGAGTCCTGGCTGATGGGAACTTTGGCTGACAGTAATTATCCCAGAAAGATTGCCTAATGGCTCTGGAGAGTGGCGACAGAGCGGTACGTCGGGTGTCGCAAATTTGCGGGGAGCACCTAACGAAATTGCGGCATTACGTCGCTTAGCGCCCGAGTGGAGAACCAGAGAGTTATGGAGTTTCGTGGGGAAATCCTCGTGGAGACGCAGGAGGATCCCCTGTGGACGTTTCCTTCTCTCCTCCTTCTCCCCCGGGCGGTAAAAGGAGAGTGACGTGTCGGATGTCGAGATGCGTGAAGCTGGATGGATGTTCGTCATGTACCAGACAGACTGTTGCAATAATTTGCTCTTTTTTTTTTTTTTTTTTTTTTTTTTTTTTTTTTTTTTTTGGACCAAATTAGGTAACTCCTTGTCTCGCGGGTATCGGCTGTACAATTATTTAGCGGACCAGCCGTGAGAGACAAGGACGTGTGATGTGACCTCGTGAACTCCAGAGAGAGAAAGAGAAATACATATAATGGGAAGATCGGAGAGGACTCGTGGCAGCACCAGGTGCCTGAATAATTGATGCGTGGCTGCATGTTACGGCAAATGGAAATGAATTTTCCGATCCATTCGTTACAACAATTGAATCGGTAATCAAGCCCCCCCAGTGGGATAATTTAGTCAAGCGAATGCATTACGCTAATTCCCCATTCGAGCGTGCAAATAATGACTTTCCGCGTTTTTCCCGTATCGGTCGGCACTTTATTTGCTGGCCACTATCTAGTCCAGTTCCCAAGGGTTGGACCTGACTTGGACCGGTGCGTTGTCTTTCTTGGTCTCTCCTATCGGTTCTTGCGGAGGACGCTGAGTGGAGATGAAACCTAACGGAAACGCCGAGCTGGGAGGCTGCTGCTGTCTTTACACGTGTCTATATGGATGAATACTCAACGAGCGTCGGAAGCTGTCAGAAGCAGGTCGCGTCCTTCGCGTCGCGATCGAAGTTCCCCTCTGTGGCAACGATGGTGTCGCGCGATGCCCCCTATGACGGTGTTCGCCATGGCGTCGGCTGGCGTCGGCTGGCGTCGGTATTGGTGAGGATCCCTCAGGGCGGTGCGTCGGTGGTCGTCCGTTGAAAACGGGCGCGACAGGACGCTTTTCCCAAATGCGTTGTCGGACGCAGGCGGAAAGCCATTAAGGGCATTTCCGTGAGTCGACAAAGCGCGTTGCGGCCGCCGCGACGGGTCGTCCTGCGGACGAAAATAAAAACAAGGAGGAACCCGTGCAAAAGGACGGACGTCTGGCGACGAGAGGTGGCCCGAAGCCGGACAGGTTAGGTTGGTAGCTGCTCGGAACAAAGGGCTCATTTTCAACGGCGAAGTTCGCCGAGCGACGCCCTTCGTTCGAATCAAGAGGAATCGCGAAATCGGCATGACTGCTGGATCGGACGGGATCATCGGAGGATCTATGGATCGGATCGAGATGGAGGCACCTGTATTCGGCCTGGTCTCGTTCGGGGCGAAGGACGTCAAAATTGCTGGATGATTATTGGAAGGGCTGAAAAGGGTGGGAATTGTATTGACGAGGGCGCAGCGGAAGGTGGGTGAAAGGTCTGGAAGAGAAAGAGAGAGAGAGAATGGAAAAGTTAGAGGGAAAAGGTGAAAAGGCGAAGCGAGTCCTTGCGAGCTGAATCCCTCGTGTGAAATGGGCTCCCCTTCCGTTCCTCTCTCTCTCGCACCTCCGCACCCTCTATGTCTGTCCCTACTTGGCACTCGTCCTGGTACGCACAAGCGCATAGGTCTCGCGCCAATGTCTCCTGGCCTGTACAATTAGTAAACAGCAATTATTAACAACGGCATTGTCGCGCGCAATGGCGTCGCCAGGAAGAATTACAGTGTAGACGAATAACTTTCTATGGCTGAAAAGGGTTCTCTCGCCTGCCGTAGCCTCCGCGGGGGCGCTGGTGTCACTGGCGGCTGGCTTTCATTCGTTTACATTCGGCCGCATTCGCGCGCCAAATAATAGCGTGTAAATGAGGCTCGACTCGGCATTCAGGAGCGACGCCACCGCGGAAAAGTCTTGCGCAAAAGTGAAAATAAGTAATTAGAAAAAATCCGCTCGACCTCAACCCCCCCAGCTGCTTGGGGTTCTTTTGAACAAGAGTACACCCTTACGCAGTGGCCACATCCTCCCCCTGGACCCCTCTCCTCCTATCCTCTCGAGCCGCTCTTTCTAATAGCCCGTTATCTGCTGGCACAGAATTAATTCGGTCCGCAGTCCGCATCCTGGGTGAAAAGGTCGAAAGGTTCCTGATCCCTGCAGAATTCATCACGTGGCGGTTCGATGAACTCATAAAATCAACTGTTCCAGGAGTCTCCCCAAATTGCCATTCCCGTAGCCATTTGTCCCGCGTCGGGTCCCGACCCGGCTCCCTCGGTCCGTGCGGTCCGTGCCAAAGGCACAGGAGGGAGCCACGCGTCGTGCCGGCTTCCATTTGCCTACGTGTTTCGCCTATTGTGTTTCACCGAATGG